TATATATATATAGTACAGACAGGGTCTTGCTACGCTGCTCAGGCTGGTCTCAAATTCCTGACCTTAAGCAATTCTCCTGGCTTGGCCTTCCGGAGAGCTGGGATTACCAACATGAGCCACCATGACTAGCCTAACGTCTGCCTTTTGATTGAGGTGTTTAGATTGTTATCATTTAATTACTGATATGGTTACCTCTAGTCTATTTCTCTGTTCCCCCTTTCTTGGCCTCTTTAAGATTTCCTGTTCTCTGTAAGACTATTTGAATATTTTTATTGGCTTTTTGGCTACACCTCACTGTATTTTTTTAACTCAGTGCTCCAGGGATTACAATATACATATCTAATCATTTAAAGTCTACTTGGAGTTAGTTTTATATCATTTCATATTTAACAATATAACTATAATGAAGGTCTGTGGGGTAAGCTCCTTTATTACTGATGTTTACTACTGTCAAACATCTACACATATTGAAAATTCCATGAGATAATGTTACTATTTTTGTTTTGGACAATTATAGGTTTTTCTTTAAGTTTTGGAGGGAAAAAAGTAATCTTTTCTAATAACCAGCTATTTACCATTTATTTTGCATTTCTTTTATTCCTGAAGATCCAGGTTTCTCTTTGGTATCATTTTTCTTCAGTTTAAATAACTTCGTTCAGCATATCTCATACAGCAATCCCATTGCTCATGAATTCTTTTATCTGAAAATGTCTTTATTTCACCTTCATCCCTGAAGAATATTTTTACTGGATATAGAATTCTGAGTTGACAGGTCTTTCTTTCAATGTGTTAAAGGTACAGTTCCACTAAATTCTTCCCTCCAAGGATTATGATGAGAAGTGCATGGGTACATTCAAATCTTTATGGCTCTGTAGGTAATGTATAATTTTTTGTTAATAGCTTTCAGTGTATTTTAAATTTCTTTAGCAGCCATTTTCCTGTTAGCAGGTGAATATCTGCTTTTTGGCAGTTTACTTTTGATGTGTGCAGGTGTAGTTTTGAGTTTACTCTGTCTAATTTGCTGAGTCTCTTGTATCTATAAATCTGTATCTTTCACCAATTTTGGAGGTTTCAGCCATTATGTTTTCAAATCTTCAAATATCTTTTCTAACAAAATCTCTCTCTTCAATTCTTCTGGAACTCCAGTTATCCATATTTCATTTGTTCCTTTTCATATTGTCACACAAGTCCCTGAGTCTGTGTTTATTTTTATAAAAATCTTTTCTCTCTTCTTCTGATTAATTTCTATTACTCTATCTTCAAGGTCACTGACTTTTCATTGTCATCTCCATTCTGTTATTTAACCCATTCAATCAGTTTATATTGGATATTATATATTGCAGTTATAAAATTTGTTTTAATAAATTATATTTCTTGCTAGAATTTATTTTATTTCAAATGTGTTTTCCTTTACCTAAAGGAACCAGTTATGGGAGCTGCTTTAAAGTTTTTCCCTGATAGTTCCAACATCTGAGTCATCTTGGAGTTGTCTTTTCCTTGAGAATTGGTCACATTTTCCTGGTCCTTTATACCAAGTAATTTTGGATTTTATCATGGACACTGAATATTATGTTATGTAGCCTGGGTACTGTTATAATACTTCAGAGATTGTTGATGCTCTTGTCTCAGCAGGCAAACAATTGAGTTATATATTCAGACTGTAATTCGTGTTTTACTTTTTGTAGGCTGTGAACTTTTGGTTCAGTTACTTAAGCCTTTTCTATTCCAGTTTGCATCTGTCCCATGACTGTGCAGGTCAAGGGGTAGGGTGAAACCTGTATGGGATTCCCCTCAAACTTTCTGCACAAAGAGGCCTCTTTCTCAGGCTTCTCTGTTCAGGAAATATGGGGTTTCTCTTGAAGTTTTATCTGCCAGAGGTGCCATGCCATGATGTGACTGCCCTTGGGGCAAAGATGCATGAGGAAAGAAAATGATAAACTCATTTCTGTGTTGGTCTCTCCCCAGAAACTCCCTGCTTTTATTTATTTTTCAGAATCCTTAGTTGTTTTTTATATTTTGTCTGGTTTTTAAGTTATAATCAGTGGGAAGGATGGGCTGTGGTGGCCTTATGTTACCACAGTGGAACTAGTATTTTCACCCCAATTCCTAAAGAATATTTTTGTTGAGTATAGAAAAATAGGTTGACAGTTATTTTCTTTCAGCACTTTAAAGACATCTTTCCAGTGTCTTCTGACATCAGAGTTTCTCTTCAGAAGATCACTGCTCCTTTGCAGACAATGCATCTTTTTCTCTGGCTCAAGATTTTTGCTTTTTATTTCGTTTTCAGTTCTAAAATTTATGCTTGATTATTTTAAATACATTCCAATTATCTAGTGAAATCTTCCATCTTTACAGTTATTTTTTAATACAATTTCCTTTATATTCTTGAACATATTATAATTATTTCAAAGTCCCTTGTTAATTCAAACATCTGGATCACTTGAGGGTCTCTTTCCATTATCTGCTTTCTTCATTTTTCAGCTATGTTCCTGTCTCCTGGCACAGTTATTTTTAATTGAGTGACAGACATTGTACATTAAAAACTGTAAGGATTCTAGATGATGTTTTATTCCTCCAGAAAAGGCACAATCTTTTCTCTGTTGATAAGAGTAAAAGCTATTATTTTAACCAAATCACAAATGACCCGAGTCAAGTCTAGGTTGCAATTTCAGTCAGGCTTAGTCTACCTCTGGTTTGTCAATGTTCCTAAGGCATACCTCTGTAAGTATTCCAGTTGAGGCCCTCCTCCCTCTGGCAGCTCCTGAACTCTAGCTATTATGATTCCAGGACCATGAAACTGCTGAGAACTTGATTTCTCACAGACGTTCTACTTACCCTTCTCATGCCGTATCAAGTATGTGGAAAATGTCTTGAAGGAAGAAAATCTTCGGTGTATTTGAGGCCCTTAAAGTCTTCAATTTTGTCTCTCTAACCCACAAGGTCCCAAAAGTTCTGATAAGGGAAAGCCTAGATTTACAACCTAGTGCTTCATGCCCATAATTAGCAAATCCCCTCAGGGAGAAAGCAGCTCTAGAACTTCAGCTCACCTCTCTAGAATCCTGCCTCTCTGCTTTCTAGTTACTTCAGCAGTTCTCTGATGACTTTAAACAGATACTTTCTCTATTTCATCTAGCTTTTTGCTCTTAGGGGAAGGTATGTAAGTCTACTGTAAGTTACTCCATCCTAACCAGAAGGGCAAACCACATACCTGACTGGTAATTTTTGAGGGCATATTGGACACACTATCTGGAAAAAAATCTGCATCTTGAAGGAAATATTGAAATTCAGTAAGTACTTTCATGTAACACTAATTCTTACTCCAGCTACAAATCACTGTCTTTCAAAACTGAATTACAAATATAACCTTAGTAAATTTTCTTTTCTTTGAAGTTATTATTTCAGTTCCAATTCTGATACTTAACAAAACTTACACACCCCATGAGTCCTTTTTATAAAGCTATGTTTAGGAAGAATAGTTAAAACAAGTAAGAGGCTTTTGGTGGTGATGGGTGTGTATGTGTGACAGTAAAAGTAGCAAATACTAACCAAACTTACCTTAGATGATGTGGTGTACATGGTGAATCTTGAATACCATTTGCTTGCTTTCTCTGCAACTCCTTTTCCAGCAGTGAACATACTGTTTCTTAGAACATCTAGTTTAGGTACTAGTAGTGTATCTAAGTTAAATGAAGGTGATGAGTGGGTTAATGTATCCTGAGATTCTTCCCTAAATGGGCAAGTAGGTGAGAAGGCTGGAGAAGACCAAAGTCTCTCCCTTGGCTTCTCCTCACTTTTTGTGTAACTTTTAGATTTGGTAAGTCTCACTGGCTTAGGAGAATTAGGAGGCAGACTAGATCTTCTGCATGCCTTGACCAATGGTGGACTTTTCTTATTTAATTTATCATCACATGCCCGTTGTAAATCAATGCTTGGTGTACGACTTGTCAAAGGGCTGCTCATATTATTCATATACATCACAATTTCTTCAGCTAAATCACGCCTAGCAGATGGTGTTGAAATGCTTTTGCTATCATCTTCATCCTCCTCCTCTTCTTCTTTTTGCTGCTGTTCAGTCTCAGCAACCAAAAGAGAGAGGGGATCGAATCCTGTTGCAACGTCAGTTTTTTCAAAAGGTTTTACTGAAAAGCTGCTGTTCATACGTTGAATACTCTTGGGATTTTGCATAGCAACACATCCTGCTTTTGATCCATCTGTTTCACTGTCTAAGTCTTCTAAGTCAAAAATAACAGGAGATTCCACTTTATCTCCCAAATAGTTAGAACCATCAAAAGGTGTATCATCATCACTAGATTCCTTTTCTAGACTGTCTCTTTTTGATCTTAAAGGTGGCTTCCCAATATCAAGAGTATTTGGTCTTGTGCTTTTTGAGATAACATTTGAAAGAATTTTTGCATCAGCTCCCAATTTTTCAACTATATCTCCAGGGGTGGCTTCCTGGTTAATTCTATTGAGCATAAATCCCATCAGTACCCCTCCACTAAGATTACGGTTTCTATTTCCCCAGACCACTTGCTGCTGCAAATTAGTTTCATTGTCACTTTTATGTCTTTTCCTGAAGCATCTACTTTGAATGTTTCTTGTTCCGTTTGTATCCTCAAGAGATGATATTAAGAGCAGCTCAGGTGTGCTTTCTGAAAAACAAGTAAAGTGCTTTTAGCCATGAAAATATAATAGCAAATAGAAGTCATTTTAAATATTTAAAATTCTAGTGATGAAAACGATAATAGCAAGTACTCACTGAGTGTCTGCTATTTGACAGATACTATACTAGACACTTTACTTGTATTTCCTACTGTAAACATTCCAACATCCTTATGGGTTGAGAAAAAAGGAACACTCAGAGAGATTAATTATCTAGCTCAGAGTAACCCAGTCCTTAAGAGACAGAACTGAGATTCAAATTCAGATTTGTCCAATTATAAAGCGTATGCTCCTAGACATTAGGATGTATCGCTTTTTAAAGATGTCATCAATTAAGATTTATACTTACTAATTCCACTAAATAAATTACAATGGTTTTACAATTGTGGCACTACTAGATGACCTTGAGATTCTGAGTCTTCCTTTTTTTTTTAATTTGGTAGACACAGGGTCTCACTATGTTGCCCAAGTTGGTCTGGAACTCTTGGGCTCAACAAATACTTCTGTTTTGGCTTCCCAAAGTGCTAGGATTATAGGCGTGAGCCACCATGCCCAGCCAAAATTGTGAATCTTCTGCTTATTAAAATGAAAAAAGAAAAAACATCCAAAACACAAAACAAAATAGATGTTAACTTTATCCATAAAGGCTATTTTTCAAAACTCCAAATCCTAAATATTTTTAGCTAAATTAATGTGGCTAAATAATTTTACCCTTGCTTAACATATTGCTTGCACATTTATACCAGTCAAATGTTAATGGCCACTTCACATTTAGAAATACTGTTCACTGCTTTCTACCAAATTACTTAGATGAAAATACTAAATTTTAAGCAAAAATCTAGATCTCTGATCGCTTTAATTGTTCTTACTATATGTGGGAGTCCTCTAAAGCATTAGTCTAGGTATAGTATCATCGACTATTCTTCTTATGTGCTTTATCCACAGAATTAGCTCTCTATAGTCAGGCAGGTATTGAAAATGTGCCTTTTCTTGTCATGTGATGTATGCAAATGGCAGGGCAAGAGAAAAGAGTGGATACTAGAGGTCATAAAAGCCTACATCTAATATTACTTAATAAGCATATACCATTAACAAGAAAAATGACATATCAGAGAGGCAAAGTTTATTGTTTTTTTCATCAGCTTATGATTGAGGACATAGGAAATCAAGAACACACTTTCTTCTGATATTCTGGGAAATTTTCTGCTTCACAGGTTAAATATTACTAAAGACCTGGAGGAATCTTGTAACCAAAGATAATACTCTGGAATTGCATTTGCAAGGGTTCCTTTGCAAAGTCAGTGATATGCTACGACCTGAAGACCAAGTTGGTTATCAGACTTTACCAGAGGTTTGCAAACTATACCCATGAGCCAAATCTAGCCTGAGGCCTGTTTTTGTACAGTCTCAAATGGTTTCTACATTTGCAAAGGGTTGTAAAAATCATGCACCCAGAAGACTAGGTAACAGAGATTCTATGCGCCCCGCAAGGCCTGAAATATTTACTATTCGGCTTTTTACAAAAAAGTTTGCCTGATCCTAAGTTTACACACATGCTAAATTACACATGCTAGGCTGGATGCTGCATGCCTCTAACACAAAGACTGCAAACTATTTAACTTCCTTGGGCTAGGTGGCTCTATAACATAATTCCAGCCAGTGATATTAAGGTATAGTTTTTGAGGGTTTTTGGAAAAACTTCTTTCCTGACAAAAGAAATAGATACGGCTGGTGCTTCTCTTCCCATTCTTTTTGCCTTGATCGGATAGGTGATGTGTGGAGTTACCAGTGGCTATACTATAATCATGGTTAGGTCAAAAGAACTGATGGCAAAACCCCTAAGCCAACATTTAGAGCAAGTGGTTACCTCTGAATTTCCTATTTGAGAAAAATAAATTGCAACTTCTTTAAGCACCGTTAATCACATATTCTGAGACTTAAAGCTGAAAGTATGCCTAGCTGATATACTAGCCTTTTCTCAGATCTTTGAACATGCTGTGGGATTCCTTTCTACTAAACAGCCTTTTTATACATGCTTCCTTCTGCTTGGAATGCACCCTCTCAATTCCTCCTTTCTGATCTCTACCCTCATTTATTTTCTACTCATATTTGAAATTTAAGTTTAAAAATGATATGCTGAAGGAAGTCTTCCCTGACTAACAACCCCAAACCCAAGACATATCTATTATATGTTCTCATAGCAACCTACTGTCCTTTTTCATTGTATTTAATCTAAGAATACTTTTGCATTTACTTGATCAATGTCTTCCCATCCCTTCTACCTGCTTTCTCCATGAAGGCAGGATCCATGTTTATTTTTTGTTTCTTATTATAATATACCCCCAGTAGCACCTGAAATATAATAGAATCTAAAAGAATATTTACTGAATGAATACTATTAGGCAGTAACTGCAGCCAACAAACCAACCTGGAATATAATACATTATATTATAATATTAATGTATTATATTATGGGTAGTTAAGGATCAAAAGTAAAGGCACACTAAAACCAGAATTAGGCTTGAGAAACATCTCAGAATTAAACTTCTTTGAGGTTGAACACTCAGTAATTCAATATGTATTTATATCAAAACATTAAATTCTCAAGATGATCATGAGGGCAGGAGCAGAAGCTCACGCCTGTAATCCCAACACTTTGGGAGGCCGAGGCACGTGGACTGCCTGAGGTTGGGAATTTGAGACCAGCTTGGCCAACATGGTGAAACCTTGTCTCTACTAAAAATACAAAAATTAGCCAGGCACAGTGGTGCGCACCTGTAATCCCATCTACTAGGGAGGCTGAGACATGAGAATCGCTTGAACCCGGGA